TCGACACCATTGAGTTCATCTAGGAGGCAGACTTTCGACCCTGACAGTCAGGATCAATCCAATCTGAGAGTGATACACAACCCAGCAGCGACCTTAGTCATATACTCGATTCAAATTTTTTTTTTTTTTTTAAACTTCTCGGCTTGGTAATCTAACTCCTGGTAGTGACAGTGATCTTGAAGCACCTATTTTGTCACTGTACCAAGAGGCCATGTTAGTTTAATGGCACAACATTCAAGTCCAAAAGATCTGTCTGCTTTATTTGATTACCCAAAAGCTTTCGACAAAATCCACCATACACATGTAGTATATTAAGTTTATTACAATGGAGTCCACTTATAACGAGTCCTGAAATAGCAAAAAGTCTGTTATAAAGACATTATTCTAAAATCCCGTTTTTCCCCTTCTTTATCTTAAAAAATAAAAAACTTCTCTAGCGCAATCAGACAAACACGCGAGTCGGTTATAGCGGAATATTGCTGCTGCTGTGCACAGCACAGGCCAATTACACGCATAATGTAAAACCACGCTAGTTGAGAAACTTGTTGGTGAACTAGCGAAACGGGAAACGCTAGCCCACGTGTGTCAACAACGAAGGCGGAGCGAATGAGTGGGGAGGGTGTGGGATGGGTAGACAAAGCAGAACGCATTGCGTGATAGGCCAGCCCAGGCCTAGCCTAGATTAGCAAGGCCTATGCCTCTCATTTCTCCGATGTGGGGATGGAGAGATCACAGTGATGTGATGGATAGGCCTAGAGCTTAGGCCTTCTCAGTCCAGGCCCTGTATCCCGGACCATATTGGTTCCAGCATTGAGGGCCGGGGTGGACGACCTTATCTTGATAAGCTCGCCACGAGACCGATCTTTATCTTATCGAGGATCAATGTGAAAAGCGGCGATTAGCAGATGTTCTAATACATGTACTTATATGTATACAGGTGATGGAACATTTTTGCATTACGTTTTTGCGTGCCGATACTGAAAAAACCTAGCCTAGAGTGAATGTGTGACGCGTGCAAGCAAACGGAACGCACCACAGGGTGTAATGGGCTTGGGGACAACACAGCGGGCGAGTTAGCCTAGAGCCCTTTCTTTCTGATCGCCAATGCCGAGCTGTCATCATCGCTACCGCTAGAGATAGAAACTTGATTCGATTTTTGACCAAGTATGACTTAGAGGCTAGAAGCAAGGAGCTTACTTTTAATCTCCTAGCCTTGAGGTCATGTTGAAGCAAAACCATCATCAGGGGAGATAACAAAAAAGAAATAAACAGAACACCAAACTCATAGATTAGGCCAACTATTTATTCCCTTGAATTTTTTGCTGGATCCCTTATAACAAGAAACTGCTTCAACAGACATTTCGCACCAGTCCCCTCCCTCTCGTTATAACAGGATTCCACTGATATTGAGTGTCTGGGGAGGATGTCGGTCTAATATTCAAATTGATGGCACAGATTTCAGAATCCTAGGTTAAATCTCTCTGGCAACAGAAGATAACAAGTATACAAAGTGGAAGGGCCTATCAAAATAATATACTGAAACCCATCGAGAAGAGTGAGACAAGGTTGTGTCCTCTTTCCTTATCTTTTAAAAAAATTCACGTTTACCATGCAGAGCTTATTAATTAGAGAATGTCAAGCAAGATCGCCACCTGCTGAGAGTCGTCATATACGAGTAAAATACATGTATATATCATTGTGGGGGTCGCAACATCAATAACCTGAGATACGCAGATCAGTTCTGCTTTCAAACAGGAACGAAAATCTCTTTTTAACTTTAAAATAGTAAAAGTAGTAAAAGTGGTAAAAAATAATAGCGCAGTACCGGCATGAAGGAAGAGAATGCCAAGAAAGCAAAACCAGCGGTCATGATATCAATTAAATCAATCGGCAAAAACAATTGGCACAAATCATGGATGGGGATCGAGAGATCAACGAAGGCCATAATTAAATATCAATTCATATAGTAGTTGTAACAATCGTGATAGACAATATATAGCAGAAGTGAAAAAGAAACAAAAGAACAGAAAATTTTGCAAAAACAAACGATTCAGTAAAATGCACAAACTATAATTGTATATAGATCTATATATACAATAAGGCCCCCAAGCAATTATAATGAAATATGCCTTCTATGGAAGATTTAATTGGTGGAGTGCTACATTTTACCCAATTTCCCCATATGACTCTGGGACCTGGTCTTTGATAAAGTAAGAAGAAAACAAAATATCTGCGTTTGAAATGTATGGTGCTACGACAAAATGTCCAGAACACTATTAGCTGCAGAGCAAAAAGACGAACAATGAACAATGATGTGTGTCAGTTTCTCCACACAAAATCACATTGTTGTTGACATCCACCCCTTGGCGCTCCTAATTATGACCTAATGCAGTAGCGAGAGCTGTAGTAAAACCGAACTAAATCTAACACTCACAGTCTCAGAGAGAGAGAGAGAGAGAGAGAG